GTACAGATTTGAAACTTTTGTAACACAATTTAATTACTTTAAACAAGTAAAGAAATCAGTTATTTTATTAAACTGAAACTTTTTAGTTTACCTTAATTCATTCACAAAGTTTTAGCTGAAGTTTTTCTTAACTTATGTGTAATTTGTTGATGTTGTTAACTTGTGTTTTAAACCCACCAAACAATATAATATAAAACAATATACAACTCACACAAGGCTGGAACAAAATATTCTCTTGTATTCAGCTCCTAATAAAAGGCACCATGTTGCCTGCATTTTTTAGTTAACCAAATACAGATGTGTTGGAGTATCTCAAAGTCCACCTCTGCTTCCGCCCCCTCCTCTGATTGGCTGGTGGTGCTGGCAGAAACAAGGGGAGGAAGAATTCTCTACACTGTTGTGATTTAGGTGTCATCATTTTCCTTTTTCTTCCTAATTCTCTGATAACTCCACGGGCGCCAGAACGATGGCGTCTGCACACGACAGAGCTGTACTCCAGGCTATATTCAACCCCACCACCCCCTTTGGAGACATCCCTGTTCTCAACCAAGAGGAGGAATTAATTGACGATGGTGAGCGTGGGCTTCTGACTTGATGTGCCTCCACATATCATGTCGCAGCATATTGAATTTTATTTGAACACGTTCCATTCCTGGGCTGTTAAAAAAAAGTGACATTATAATCAAAACTTAGTTCTGGGTGACATTTCTGTGTTTTCCTTTGCCACGGTACCTGTCAGCTGACAGTGCGAGTGCTTTTTCAGTCTGTTTATCTCCTCCTGCCAGACAGTGGCTTTGACACAGAGTTGCTGAAGCAAGTGAAGGAGATGGAGACGCGGGGCGTCTCGGCAGCAGAGGCCGGGGATTTGCAAACCGCACTTCAACTGTTCAGCCAGGCAGTCCAGATCTTGCCTGAACGAGCCTCTGCCTACAACAACCGGGCTCAGGCCCTGCGGCTGCTGGGGGACGCAGCAGGTACATTCAATAAATTTGGTAAAATTCCTTCCCCGAGGTTCAGCATCCTGCTGGGCTGTCAGGCTGCTGAATCTGAGGCCAGCATGACACAATATGGGACCAGTCTATCTGCTGCAAATTATCATGGTTACCTCATAAGATATATGTTAGCTTCCTATGTTTTTGCTTTTTCCCATGATGTCTGTCACAAAAGACAAAGCTGTACAGGAAATCAAGAATAGGTAATTTTGATTCATTAATATCTGAATAATCTAGGATCACATAAAATGATGTGAGAGTTACATCTGCCAAAGAATCAGTACAAGACAGTAAAAATGTTCACTGATCTTGTCCCAAGTATTGCATACAGTTTGTATTTTATTCTATCTGTAAAAATATATGTAGAAATTAAACTGGATTGTCCCTTGGACAATCCCAATCAGGCCTCCAGTATTATTAGCTTAAAAAAAATAACAATTAAAAAATAAAGATTTTTTTTTTTTTTTTTTTTTTTTTTTTTTAAAGCAGCAATATATCAATGAGACTTAAGGAAATTTAAATTAAACATCTTACATAAAAATTTAATTTTTAAGTCATTGTGTTTCCAGAACTAGACTGAACTTAAAGGTTTTAAAAACACAAACATATATATTTGTTTTATATAGTTCCTCTAACATGTGCAGTATAACACATTAAGTTAACATGTGTAATATATTGTCCCAAGAACCAGTTTACAGAATTTTATTCCTAAATGATTTTGGAAAGACTTGTTTTATAAATCATGCTAACTATGCTACAATGATAAAAAAAAAGGTCTTCTAGATTAACAGTCATAAAGAAAATGTATTTTCCAATTATCTATGCGGCACTTTGATCGCTTTAAACGTCTTGATGTGGCCCTTTGGAAAAAAAAAAATGTTGCCCACCTCTGTGTTAGAGTATTTTTTGAATGCATCTCAAGTATTATTGTAAGTTATATGTATTTTTGCTCAGTAACTGTAAAACAGATTAACTTATAACAGTTTATTTGTTGACTAATGCTGATTAGCTGTGACGACCATTTTGAACTGGGTTGACTTCAAACATTACTGAGTTGTAAATGTACATCCAGGTAATATTTCCTGAAGAGTCCATTAAAATTTGTCCAGTGGATCATGAGATATTTTGCTAACAGATAGACATTGCTGACTTTAGCAGTTGTTGACAAAGCTCTAAAGATGTTACTTAATGAGGAGCACTTGGATTATATGTTGTGTATAACTCCCAGCTACACCAAATATTGCATGAGACTGCGATATCATTTACAAGGCAGAGAGCAATATGCCTTACTTCAAGGAATGCAGTGCCTTATTTCTGAGAAAAATGGAATGCATCAACTATACTCACACTGAAATGAGCAGTGGACTGATTGTACAACACAATAAACTGAAACAAGACCTTGGTCTGTTTCTCATAAACATTTAAAAATGTTCTGTTATCTTTATGCTCTGACTTCTGCCACACATTCCAGGAGTTGGTACGTGGAGTTTTGTTTATCTTGTTTTAATGGCATATAAATTTGGCTGTCATCAGAATAAAAATGAAAAGTCATGTCAAGTTTCCAGATAATATATCCCAGAGGGAGCAAATAAAGGGAAAATAGAAGAGGGCCAAGTATAGATCCCTGAGGTGCTCCACACGTGAGAGGCACTACAGAGAACTCCACACAGCACCATTATGTACACAAAAATGTATCTCTCTTAAATTGGATCTAAACCACTGTAGAGCAGGACCCTGAATGCCCACCCAGTTCTCCAGGTGAGACAGGAGGATCTGGTGGTCCACTGTGTCGAAGGCAGCACTTAGGTCCAACATCATTAAAACTACAGAGTGACCAGAGTCTGTGGCTAAAATAATGTCATTAAAAACTTTCAACAGTGCTGACTCAGTACTGTGAAACCGTTTTTTTGGAGTTGCGTGTGCATGACAGTCCTCTCGTCTTCCCCCAGGAGCTCTGCAGGATCTGGACCAGGCCATCTCCCTCGGTGGCACAACGGGACGCTCTGCCTGCCAGGCGCTGGTGCAAAGAGGCCTCTTACGGAGATTGGCGTGCCAGAATGATGAAGCCAGGGCTGATTTTGAGAAAGCAGCTGCACTCGGAAGTGAATTTGCTCGGCAGCAGGCGGTGCTTCTTAATCCGTATGCAGCGCTGTGCAACAAAATGCTCTCAGAGGTGATCAATAAACTCCGCAACCCTGAAGTATCAGAGATGGAGTAGTTGGTGAGATGATGGGTTGCTTGAACACCTTTACTTTTTCTGATGCCAAAAAAAGTATCCCCTTTTTTCTGTTTTAACACCCGTTTGATTTCATTTATTTTACAGCTGTAACAAAACAACTGTTCAGTCACATTTAAGAAACAGGATATTTGTTCTCAGAGACTCTTTGCTCCCATTTTCTCTTATCAAAGTCAGTCTACATCAACACAAATGTCAGTGTTATCAATAAAATAATGCATATGTTTATGGTAAAATGTGGTATTTATTAAATGCAAAATGAAGTTCTGCATTCAAGTCTTCAAACTGTTTTTCTTGTTAGTTTTCTGCACACGAGGTACTTCAGCTTTCTTCCAGTAGATGTCAGTCTTGTCTTGTTCGATGAAAACAATCAGCTCAGTGTTCATTGTAGTTTAGAGATTAGAAAAACATTTATCAAACAAGATAGACTAAAGACTCATGTGAAATAGTTCCATCTTGTTTAATAGTGTGGATGTTTATGAAGCATTCACAGTATTGTGATCCATTTTTCTTCTGTACGTTTTTCAGCATCTTTCTCTTTCCACAATTTTTACTTCCACAAATCATATATCAAATGTTCAGCTCATTCAGATGGGTGTAATGACTTTTGGTGTTGGTGCAACTTTAGATTTCTCAAATATTTAGCCTTTTCTCATAAAAAATGAATTGAGCTCATTTTAGATCCTTCAAAATTTGAAATGTGTTTACAACCTTTTACTGCTTCGTTCACATTTTGTTCCGGTTCAGCTTCTTTCCTGTTTTCCTTGTGCAAATTCAAACTTTTTTCAGCTACTTTCAGCTCTTTATTTTGGATTTTTTTTAGCTGTTATATGCACCTTTCAGATTAAAGATTTGTAGGCTCATCCAGGTAGATAACAGCAAAAAAGGTTAAATCATAACTTGTCCAAATGACATGATTTAACCTTTTTTGTTCCTTTCGGATTAATTCAGCTAACTACATTTTTGTGCTTCGTCTAAAATATTTCAGCTAATTTCAACTTGTTATGCTCCTTTCAGCTAATTTCTGCTGGTTTCAGCTTTTCTGCTATATCAGCTACTATTTAGCTGTTTTATGCTAATTCTAGCTTTTTCAGCTAATCCCACATTTTTTGGCACTTGTTTCTACTTTTTTCAGCATAATTCAATGAAAATGTGCTCTCTCCACTACATTCTGGTAATTTAGGCTTCTTTCTGCAGCTGTTTTTTTTTTTGTTAATTTCTTTTTTTTTTCTGATTGGTTCCTCTTTTTTGTGCTAAATTCAATTTTGCTTCTTCAGGTAGTTTAAACTTTTTCTCCCATTTCAGCTACTTTTCAGCAATTTTTCTTGCTTATTTCAGCTTTTTTTTAGCTAATTTCCTTTTTTTTGTGCTCATTTATTTAAATCTAGTTCAGCAAGTATTTGTTTTTCTGCTTTTTTCTGCTAATATAGGCTCGTTCTTCCATTTAATCTGGATTTCATATTTTTCGCTACTTTCAGTTGTTTTTTTTCAGCTAGTTCTTCTGCAATAAGCAGGGAATTCAATTTATCTAGTTAATTTTGCGAGCATTAATGACATCACGAGTAAATTATAGCTTTAACACAACATCTCTGCAGAAAGGCTCCAGCCTTGCCTCAGTTTTGTGAGAACAGACTGTGCAGGACACATCTTTGTGCCCCACCAACTGCTCTGAGCATCATCATTTGTGCTTGAGTCCTCCACGTTTGTTTCTGACCTCTCCCAGGCACGTTAAAGCCACCGGCTCCCTGCGCTCCTCCTTCTGGTAAAACGTGCAGGTTCTCAGGTGCTCCGACATAGAAGGAGCGTTACTGAAGCTCCAGCGGTTCACGGGAGAAAACAGAGAGCTGAACTTCCAAACCTAGAAAACAAAGAGGCAGAGCTGAGGTGGCTCTCACAGCATCTGTTAACAGTACAGGCTTCTGCAGTGAGGATAAATGTGTTTTCATTAGCCAAGGTATCTAGATCACGGGTCCTTTAATCACATGCAGGGCTCAAAGTTATTTTGGTAGCATCGGTTAAAAATTTATACAAATGATGTCATTCACTGCAGAGCAAATGCCCAGCTGGTGGCTACACATTCATTTCAACGTGCAGTGTTTCCATGAATGATCATAACAGCAGTCTCGTTACTGAGAGCACTGGCTTTACTCTCAGGCCATTCCACATCACTGATGTCACCCGCATGCTTTCTGTCCTGTGATCACGGCTGTACCAAGATACTAGATACAAAAATACATTCACTTTTTCAGTCATCAGCTCAAGTTAAGAGGTTTGAACATCAGTTTTAGTTGAGAGGCTGTTAATTCTACAAACATATTGTTTAAAGATGTTAGAATAGTGTGTACAACATAAATAATGCTTGTTAAAAATTATTTCGTATATCATTTCAAGATTCATCCACAAGTTTTTATTGGCTGGCACAATCTGATATAATTCAAACTGTGCATCTCCCACTAAAACAGACGATCCCTCCGAATATCCAAACATCTACAGTGAATTAAACAGTTCTTCAAATGTTGCTGCATTTTGTGGAAGATGGTGCAAACGTAAACTGCAGACTGATTTAAACCTTCTGCACAGCTTCCATGGCTGTGGACAACAATGAAATAAAACTGAGGCAGAGCTGACGTATTGCTGTAAATCCACACAACACCTTGTGACATAATGATCTGAATCAGGAGGTGATCTTTACTGTTGGACATAAAACAAACCGTGTCGGTGGATTACCAGCTGCTGCGTTTGACCTTACTGACTTTCCCTGAGCTACTCTGTTGTGAAATGTTCAAAAACAGACACGGATAAGAAATTATGACATAAAATGTGACTACATTTCATAAAAATGAGGTGTACACCCAGACTGTGTGATTATGTATGGACATAAATTAGTCTTAAAAAAGTGTACATAAAGCATAAAATATATTTTTTAGAGATTGTCAACTGTCCACATTTCACGCTGCAGAGGTAGAAAGATTCTGCACATACAAATAGTTAAATGTGCACACACATACAGTATCATCTGCTACGAACAAATCAACACAACACGGATCAACTTGCCTGTGAACGAGACTTTTGAGACTTTCTCTACACTCCAGGTTCACACGCGTATTGCTGCGTTCAAGTCTAATGATATGCTTAGACATTTGCACCCAACTATCGAAAATGGATAACTTATGTTGTCTAAGAAAATAAATGGTAATAACCTGTTTCATCCAACCAGCAACAAATGTTGCCTTTTCTTTCTACATGAACATTTAGCTCACAGGTACTTCAGAGGACTGCATGGAGTACATCTCCCACTGCTGTGTCCTTTGTCTACTGGTACAGGATGAAAGAGGAGGCCACTGCTGCTCTTGACATATTTATATATACCGTATTTTGTAGTTTTTCCAAAAAAATAATACCCACAATGCTCAGGTGAAAGAGCTGTTCCCTCTCAGCAAGAAGGTTGCTGCATCAAATCTCGGCTGGATGTATTTCTGGGTGGAGTTGGTATGTTCTCTCCGTGCAAGCGAGGGGTTTTCTCCGGGTACTCAGGTTTCCTCCCACAGAGCAAAAACATGCATGTTAGGCTGACTGGTGACTTTAAATTGTCCCTAGGTGTGAATGAGAGACTGAATGGTTGATTGTCTCTATGTGTCTCTGTGATGGACTGGAGACATGTCCAGGGTGTACCACACCTCTCTCACACTGACTACTGGATATGGGCACCAGGGACCGTCTGGGGCCCAAAAAAGAAAGAAATGGATGGATGGATGGATGAATACAGATTTTAGGTACCATAATTCATTTCAGAAATACAGTCAATCAAATTTAACATTTTTGGAAACCAGTGCCATCAATGAAAGTGTTTGTGTATATGGTCACAGTGACCTGTTAGACGTACACCATTTCCAATAAACCAGTAAACCTGAAAAGTTCCAGATACCCCAGCTTTTCACCAGCCTCTAACACAGCATTACATATGTGAATCTAGAGCGTGAAGAAAGTCTCAGAAGTCACACGCACAGGCAACATGTGCATGCGCTCAAATTGACTGATTGATCTCGAGCAGTTAATTTGTGCACATGGACTGATAATTTGTATGAGTAGGATAAGCCTACTTGTCCAATTTGAAATGTGTACAGTTGAAAACTTTTTATGCATTTGTCATACTTGTATGTTCAAAACACTTTTTTTTTTTGTGAATACTTTTAAGACTAATTTATTTCCATCGATCATTACCAGCAATTGAGAAGTCTGAAGCTGTGAACCCAATGGGAATTCCCTGCACAGGTTCAAGTCCTGCTCAAAGCGAAACCGTCAAACTCTGTTGCATCCAAGTGTGTAAATTAAATGATATATCCAACCATCGTAGAAGAGTCGTGAATCCATGTTGCAGAAGGTGGAAGATCTTCTGACAGTCTTCTAGTGATTATGTTACAGAGTTTTGAACAATAACTATTTTCCTTTTTAAAATAAAATTGTGTGTTGCACGAGTAAACAGAGATTACAAATGACACATTTTATTGTAGACTTGTTGATCTTGTACACATTGAACTCTTGTTGAATGCTTTTGTGAAGACTTTTGAGACTAATTTATGTCCACCTTCAGAACAATGGACCAAAAGTGGAGATATGAGCTTAAAAATAACTTTATTTCATTTGTTGACCTTACTTTTGTAAACCCCGCCCCCTCCGCCCCACAAAAAAAGAGGGTAAACATTCAGTTGAAGCTTAAGTGGAAAGTTATTATCTGTTACTGTCTCTGCTAAAAGTGACTTTATTGTTGGAGGATGACTGAGAGTCTGCAGAGTGTTTCCAATGCAGCAGCTGTCAGGGTGAATGAATGACTGAAACTTTCCAGTGACATAAAAAAGAACAGTGACAGATAAAGAACATGCTACACATTGTTGACCTTGTTTTTACTTTCCCTGTATAGTTAAGCGTCATATTATTTTGCATTTTTATGTGTGAACTGAATTAAATTAAAATAATTATAAAACAAAAAGCTTTATATTGCAGTGAATGAAAATTTATAAGAGATACTGCTCTTTGCAAATGTTGGGTGCTAAATGTTGAAATTTGTTTAAAAAAAGCTGAAACTAAACTGCTGAAGGTAAGAACACTAGATAAACTTAAAATAAACAACGTAGATAAAAGCCAAATGTGCAATACTGTATTGAAAAAAATTACTATATAAAAGCTAAGCATGGCAAAAGTTTAGCTTAAAGGTAACTTAGCAAAAGACTAGCTAAAAGCTAATTGTAGCAAAGGTTGAGCTGAAAGCTAAATATGCAAAAGCCTAGCTAAACAGCAAAAGCCTTGTTATAAGCTAAAGTAGCAAAAATTGCTAAAAGCTCAAAATATCAAAAGTGTAACTAAAGGCTAAAAGTAACTGAACAGTCACTAAAAACTATAGGAAATGTCCACCCAAAAAAATAAAAAATAAAAACAATCTGAAAGCTAAAGGCGGACAAGCTAAAAGTTATAAGTAGCAAAAGCATAGAGAACAGCAGCAAAGTGCTAGTTACAAGCTAACATAACAAATGCTAGCTAAATATAACAAGGTTGCAAAAAGTTTAAGACAAGCGAGGAGATAAAAGTAGTCAAAGGCCAACTAGAAGCTAAAAGTAGTAAAAGGTTAGTTGTAATTCACCGAACGGTTTAGCTAAAGCATAGGCTTACTGATAGCATAAGAAGACCAAATACAGCTAGTATGCTAAGGATGTATGGGAAAAAAAATCCCAAAGTTTTTAAAAATTCAGAAGAGCTCTCAACATATTTCAAGAAAACAATAATGAATTAAACATTTCTATTAAAACATTAATGAAAACTATTTTGGGAAACCATAAAAGACATTAGGTATACTTGCTTTTTTTCGACACTTCCATGAACTTCCACCATGTTTGTAGGTCTTTTTCTTCCACTCAAGAAAGACCATCCCTCTTTCCTGCAGCAGTGTGGCGCACACCTCTCTCATCAGGCAGGAAACTTGTAACAGCTGAGACAACGTTAAACTGTCGAGGTACCCAGCTATATGCTGAAGGATCTCCATTGGCAGCCTGCTCAGGGCATCACAATCGTTTGCACTTCCTTGAGGGATGAAGCTTTTCACATTATCACAGAGGGATGTAGGGAAGTGTGGCAGAAGCTTAAAGGCGCTGGCATCTTGACAGAATTTGATTGTAGCTTGTTGACCCTCAGGGTGAAACCGTATCTGGGTAAAAGTGCAACCAAGGTATGCTAAGGGGCAGCGCTGTTGGAACCAGCCGTTTACTGAGGCTTGTATATCACAATGCACATTCCTGAAATGAGAATGGTATTCAGCACGGCGGAAGAAGTGGCCACACATGAAGCTGAAAGCTGAGCTAATTTTGTTGTGTCTTCTTGTAACGGATTCTGATTCAGTGCACACATAAAGGCCACGTGGTTTGCCGGCAATCACATCAGCTAGAGATGCATCGGCTTTGAATGGAGCAAAGGAAAAAATGTATGTTTGTGTTCCGATATCTACATAAATGCCATCTGTAGAGGAGCTCTCTGAGATCAAATGCCCCTTTAGTTCCTTTTCCATGGAGCACAATAGTGTCGAGCCGACCTCTTCAGATTTTGGAAGATCTTCAGCCGACATGCCCAAATCAGTGCCCACATTCTGGTGTTCGGTTTTGGCCTTGTGTGAAGGATCCTTCAGGTGACTGCGTTTTGCTCGATAGCTGGTAGGAACATTAAATGAGCGAACAGTTTTAACCTCAATTGGCTCCAGATTTCCATAAACAAAATCCTTTTCTCTCGGGGTGCATGCGGCAAGCTGGCCAAAGTTTATCAGCATTGCCCCATTGTGCACCAGGTACATATTATATTCGGCAATATTGACTTCTTTGCCTAACCTTTCAAGGACCCCGTCTTGCCATGGCGCAAGGCCAGTTGCACCATTCATGTTTCTGGCAGCGCCAGCATTCTCCTCACCCGGATCAGGGTTTCTCCGTCCCCCCTCACTCTTTGTTATGTTCCGCTCTTCCATTCCCTTCCCTTTCCCATCTCTATTCAGCTTTTTAACAGTCAGGTTGCATCCCTCCTTCTCCTTCTGAAATATTTTCTCCCACTGACTGGAACTCTGAAAGCTTGCCACATCTGAGCTCTTCGCCAAAGCGCTTCTCTCTTTTTGACTCAGTTCTTTTTCCTCTGTCTTTACACAGGCATTTTCTGCAAATCCACAACAATCACGACAGGAGGCCCCCTCCTCTGCAGCACCGATGGTGCCAATAGGATGATTCTGTGGGGCAGGTTCCTCTTCTGTCAGCTCAGGAAAAACGTTTCTCATTTTGATGGATTGAAACAACAAGGCTTGATCCCTCAGAGCCAAAGCAACGTCAAGACCTGGCTCTGTGTTTAATTGAAGACTTTCAGAAATATTTGCGTAAAAGGTCATGTCAGTATCAGGAACAGGCCAACGGTTCCACTCCTGAGAGCAGCAGACGATGCTGGCAGGACAAACCTCCAAGTGTTTGGCTAGCTTGTGGCGCAGCATCGTGAGTGGACAGCCATAATCAACATTGAGGCATGGGACCATCTCATTTGGACAAAGAAGCAGGTGCTCATCATGTTTACACATATGAAAGGTGGCACCACAGTTTCTGTAACATGTGATAACCGTGCAAGAGAAGGAGGTCTGCACCGGGACTTGACAGTGGAGATTGTAACACTTGTCACAATGATCATGCCGGCCTGCAGCCATCTTTGTGCCATTTACCTTTGGAGAGAAATAACAACACATGACGAAATGACAGAGTGCACATTTCTAGGGCTACTTATTTATTAAAAACTTCCAGGATGCCTTCAAGTAAATAATTTGATTTTAAAATAATTTACTTTGTTCAAGGAACGCCGCGCAAAGTCATAAAAATAAGAACGAAAGACTCCAATATCTTTATCTCATATTAATGGTTAAGGTGTCCTTAAAATAAAATTTAAAAAATGTAAACAAAATTAATAACCTTTATGGCAAATCTCAATGAGATCATAGATCTCTTTCGCAAGGCAGGCCTGGACCTGAAGGCATCCTGATTTGGACTCAGGGAAGAATCTGGAGTATCTGGAGAAAATTCATGCAAACACACGGAGAACATGCAAACACCACCCATGTCTAAACCGGGGCGTGAGCCCTGGACCTTCTTGCTGTAGGAAAACACTGCTAACCGCTAAGCTGTCAAGCCGCCCACTTAATAAATGGTTACCATTTCCCACATGTGTTAATCTACAGCTAAAGTGACTGAAAATAGGTCAGCACTGCCAACGCCAATGGAGAGCCATAACATCTGACACTTTTATCTATTAGTAAAAGTTTTTATTGATATTTGTTGAGCAAAGTATGCAAACAGGCTTTTAACTAATTCAGTCAAGTGATTTGTTTCCAATGAGTGTGGAGCCATTGTGCAGAATTGCACATCAATACATGTGGAAAAGTAAACCGCTTCAAACTTCACCAGCTTAGTTCAGGAAAACATTTTCAGTATTTGGTTTAGCAGTCTGCAGAGAGAACTTTTAAAATAACCGGACTTACCTCAGTGACTTAGAAGCTCAGGGAAATGACCATTTTAGAAGAATTCAGATGGAGCCCAGAAGACTGCAAGGAGAAATATATTAGTCCTCTTATGTGGTATTTAAAAAAAATAAAATGCAGCTTTAAAAGTGACAAAGTTCAAAACAGAAAAGTCAGAAAGGTTGTTGGTCTTGTATTGAATGCAAATCTGAAACACAAATTAATATTAATAGTGGCATTTTAATAACAAGTTAACAGCAGTTTTAGTCGACAGCTGGCACTTTAACAATAAACATTCTCACCCTTTGTTCTGTTGCCTTTCGTCCACTTGCACCTCTGAGTAACCTCTGCATCGTGTCTGGACAATATAAATAGAAACAACAAAGGGGGCAGACAGGCCAAGGGGCTGGGGCACCATTGTCACACAGCCATTATGAGCAAAGGTCAAGTTACTGCCTCCACCTCTGCTTAGTGTGAGGGAAGAGGTAATTATAGCAGATAATCCAAGTTCTTAGTGCAACTACTGTCAAAACCAGAATCATTTTACTTTTCTTTGATGCATACAAAAATACATCTCAAATAGTCTTTAAATTTAATATTCATATATTAATCAATATTTTACTGCCATTTATAATGTATTAACAAAACAATACATTTCATGAAAATGGTAAAATAAGATTTTCACTCTGATCTTTTTCAGTTGCTCTTTTTTCAAGGGGTTGCCACAGTGAGCGAACTCGCATGAAGACTCGGCAATCGTTTTACACCGTATGTCACTCCTGAAGCAAACAGACCACTGAGCTACCACAGCCCAGATGTGTGGAGCAGAGGACAGCCATTTAGGGTACCCTGATGGCGTGTGTGTGTGTGTGTGTGTGTGTGTGTGTGGGGGGGGGGGGGGGGGGTAAGGCCTTGCTCAATGGCTCATAGTGGTACAAGTTGGATGCTTCAACTTCTCAAATGCAGGTTTTCCCACCCACATTTTGATATAATGATCAGGGGTTTGAACCAGTGACTTCCCGATCACAGGCTTACCTTCTCTAACCTCTGCACCACCACTCCCTGAATATACTGAGCTACAAGTATCTATTTCATCATCACATGCATGAGTAATGCAACAAGGCGAGCTTGTGATCAAAAGGTTGCATAAAAACATGTGGGTAGGAAAAGTAAAACACCCGCATCTGCCTTCCCCCTCACTCTGGGTGCTGGAACAAATAACCTTAAACCCCCGCCTTCACCAACTGCTCCCCCGGGTGCCTACCTAAGATGTCAGCCCTCTGCTCCACACAGAAGGCTATGGTAGCTCAGTGGTCAGAAGTTGCATCAGGAAAGTCATCCTGCAAAAAAACAAATGCCGAATCTTCATGTAAGTTCTCTGGCTGTGGGAACTCCTGATGAAGGGAACAGCTGAAGGAACAGATATTGAGAAATATGCATCATTGCATATTTGAAGGGATGATGGTGTTTAGCTACTACCAGACTGAGATACAGCCATGTTCTATTTCTATACTGGCTAAGGTTGAGTCACTGAATTGTTTTTTTTGTTTTTAGAGTTTATCAAACATTTAACAAGTGGTTTCTAAGACATTTTGCTAACAGACAGACAGTGTTGACACTAAACTTAATTAATAGTTGATGGGAAATTATTTAAAACAGATCAATTATCAGTCAAAGTTTGGGTTGGGAATTACACTCAACTACTACGTCGTTAAATTTGAGCTCATCTGTAAATGAGTTCAGTTATAGCCACTTTGTGTTCTCTAAGGTTGCTTAGTTAGTGTAAATTTTTATCAGGGTTGTTTCTAAAAATAAATTAGATTATAGTGGGTATTGATTACTATCTGAGAGTTTCAATACAATCTAATGAGTGGATGAGCCACTGGTTAATGAGATATTTTGCTAACAAACAAACACACACACTTTGCATGTACAATCGTGCTCTAAAAATATGGATGTTTTAAGTGCATTTTAGTCCCATTTGTCCTGATCCATGGAATCCACTAGATGTCAGTCACACACTTTGAAATATTCAACCAAAAACATCTCCAGCAGCTGTTTCTGCGTTCTGTTAAAAAAACAAAACAAACAAAAAAAAAACTGAAGATATAAAACAGTATGTATTGTAGATTTGTTTAGACCCAATATGAAATAAAACAACTATTGTTTTTGGTGCTCTGAAATGTTGATTGTAACAACAGTGAGATGAATAAACTCAACATTATCTTTTTAAATAAAAATAAAAAAGGCAATGTTTTGGTCCAGTCTGGAAACCATTTCACCTCAAAG